CAGAACCAGCAGACTAAACAACAGCTTTTTCCCCAGAGCTTTCTCTTTATTGAACTCTAACCCTCACGGATAGACTCCTCTCACCTACCTCCATTTTGCTATTCTGTTATTTACAAGACTGTAAAGTTCACCTGACCTCCTGACTGTTACTACTGTAACAACTGTTTACATGGATCTTGCACTACTCACCTGACTGAATATTGATCTGCACTGCCGACTGTTTATTCACATTACCAATTGTTTACAATTGTAAAATCCATCTGTATTTATGCTATTGTACATAACTGTAAAAACTCTTTTTATAGTAATATCCACCTGTATATTATATTCAGTTATAGTGATCTATATATTATATTCATTATTTAGTAAGATTCTGTTTATAATAGTATTCACCTCTCTACTCATTCAGTAGAACCCATGTCCTGTATTTATGGAACCATTATTTATCCTGCACTTGCTGTTATTGCACTTCTGGTTAGACCTAAACTGCATTTCGTTGCCTTTCGTTGTCAATGTATTACCTGTGTAATGACAATAAAGTTGAATCTAATCTAAAGGAAAGGAAGGGACAAAAGAATGAAAGGAAATAAGGACAAATGGTATGAAAGATGGGAGGAAGGACCATGATTAGGAAGACCATAAGAAATGGAAAACAGTAAAAAAAGGATGCAAGGAAGGAATGGAGGTAGGACACCAGGATGGTATAGAGAAAAGAAGGAAGGAAGGAGAGGAATGAAAGTAAAGCAAAGGACCAAGGTAACAAAAGATAGGAAGCAAGGGGGAACAAAGAAGTAAAAAATGGAGAAGAAGAAAGGAAGAATGAACACAGCAGTCAAAAAGAGATTTTTGAAAAATTCTAGGTTTGAATTTTACAGCATTTATAAAGTGTAATAGTGAATAAATGATCAGACCTCCAAAATAAATCTAGTCCAGCTTTATGTATGAAACACTTTACAAAAAAACAGGGTACAAATGCATAAAAACATTAAAATTACAAATGGCAGCAAACATGCGGAAGGAAATTTAAAATACTTCACAAACCACACAGTAGGAATCATAAAATATAAGTACTAACCTGACTGTGTGAAACCAACACTTTACTCTGTGTCAAAAGCAAAAACATGCCACTCAGGACTGGAAACATCAGAGAGCATCAGGGAGAATCTGATCTTCACCTCATCAGGTGTTTATTTTACAACCATTAAGAAATGCTGGGAAGCAGCTCAGTCAGCTGTGCACACATTCCAGTACGGATCCTCACTATGTCTATGAAACACATTCATAAACTCAGTTGATAGCTCAGTTATTTACTTCACCACTTAAAGCTGTAGTTTCTAAAAATAAAACCGTCTGATGATATGAAGATATCTATTTTAACGATTCAAACACCATAACAAGTCTCCCTGCTCTCACCAGTGGGAGGATCAAACACGGACAAGCTTTTAAAATGACGCACAAATGCGGCTTTGTGGCGCCGGAAAAGCAAACTGGTTGTTTGGTGGGATTTTAATGTAGAACCAGTTAGCACCAATTCGTTTAACTCTGGAAGCGCTTAAGTAGAAAAGGACTAAATATCGTCCCCCAAAGAAAGACTAATTTGACGAGTTGCAGCAAAAGCGCATTTAGATACAATTCATTAGATACAAGCAATAAGATGAGAAGAAGGAAGATGTTCCTTTTCCTGATTCAGCTGTTCGACATCAGAAAGGATCAGAGATCTGTAAGGCTGGTTCGCTGAACATCTGCCAGAATCCTGCGTTTATATTTAACAGGAAAACTGGGACTTACCTCTCCGTCTGAAGCCCATCAAAGATGTGGAGGAGTTTGGATCCCTCTGATGCACAGTTTCAAGACAATAGTGTTATTGGAATCCATGACAAGACCTTATTACCTTTTTAACATTAAAAAATATGGATATTTTGATGGCAAAAATTAATGTCAATATAATAACAATAAACGCCAACTTGCCCAAACATATTGAGAAAAAAATAACCAAAGTGCTTTTATAAGAAATTCATGAAAAGAGTGAAAGAAACACATTTTTTTTGGTCCAACACAACCTTAGAGGCATTAATGCTGATACTGGCCCTTACATTTTTTTAGGTTATAAACCTAAATATAATTGTTAACTAGGCTTATTAACTTTTTTACTTTACTTTTTAACCTTTTAATCAGCTTTTTACCTCTTTTTTTTTTACTTATCTTTTTTTCCAACTTAATTTACAGTAGGTAATATATCATCCAAGGGCTCATCTAATTGGTAAAATGCCAAAATAAGATCTACAGCCATGTAACGGGATCTTTGCTGAATGGTTGGATAAAGATCTAGACCTCACTGATGGTGAAAAGTGATCAAAAACGGTAACTTACCCTATAGTGTTTTTTGATAAGTTTAGGTGAAAATCTCTGGCTATGACTCCTAATGAGCAGAAAATACGTTTTATCTAACATGTAGTAAAAACAGCTTTTTAAAAGCTTGGCGGATCCTGAGACATAAGTGCAAAGTTTTCAGTTTTTGTGGAATTTTACAACATTTCTGCTTAACAGAGTGGCTTTTGACGTCATCCGCACGCCGGACTGGAGTTGTAACAGGAAGGCAGGGCCACAGGCGGCTACGCTCTACACCTTCTATTCATTTGGCTAGCTAATCTGAATCATTCAATTCCATTTGGACAGCGAGATCATCTGTGGTCGTAGCACTAGACATATTCCAGGCATGTGAGGAAAACTAGCAGCAGTTCAGCGGACAGGGAGAATGAACGGTAGCCGGCGCGCGCGGATGACGTCATACACACTTCTCTTTGTTTTTAAAACATATAAATATAAAAAATATAACCGTGGATGTCTGGGGGACAGTGATTCGCCTACATGTTATGAATGCTGGTGTATCATAAAGAATAAATGATGAACAGTTCAGTTTGTGCCTTCAAGTCGTTGCCCATAGGAAGACGTTACTTGGATATAACCTAACCGAATATCTTCAGAACGGCTCCAAATGATACAAAACGTATATGGGTGAGTAGAACATGATGTAATAACGTAAAATCAAGGGCCCAATGTAAAAAAAACAACAACAAAAAACGACGTTCCCCTTTAAGGCTTATGAGTCCAAGTTTAGGGAGATGTACAAAGAGTTCAATCAGTTCAATTCTTATGTTGTTGTTTTTTTCCTGCATTTGGTAAGAAGCTTCTTTTCATTGTTTCAGGTCTTCAGACCAGACCAGAAGAAGTCCCAATAAGCCAACAATTCCCAGTACCGCAGGTGAATCAGTGTGTGGAAGGGCCCCGCCCTGAAGAGGCTAGTCAAGCAAAGGTGGAAGACAACCAAACCAAGACCGAGGAGGTTCCCCCAACATCCGTCCAGGTGAAATCTGAGCCAGTTGAGGAAAACATAACACAACCACAGCTACATGTGGAAAACAACGAGACCAACAACAGAGTAGAAAACATGGGAGAAAATCTACCACCAGTGGATCAAGGCATCACACCCTGGGGGTCCAGGTTACAGAACAATTCAGAACTGAGCAAAGCAGAATTTCTGAACAGTCCGTCACAGAACATGTCTTCCTTCCCTGCCATTGCTCAGTTACTCCAGCCATCAGAAGAACCTTCCTATAGTAACTTCTCTGTCCGAGGGAAACTGTATGGGCAGCTGAAAAACTGCACAGTCCCACAGACGCCTTATGGACCTTCGGGTGCTGTTCTCATACCCGGTAACCCAGGCTTTCATGGTATGACAGACGTCTCCAACCACCACAGACAGAGGAAAAACAGATCGTATCGCGTTCTGAAGCCAAAGAAATGCTTTGTTTGCTCCTACTGCGGGAAGATCTTTGAGCGAGCCGGACACCTGGAAAGACACCTGCGAATTCACACCGGGGAGAAGCCGTACGGCTGCCAAATCTGCGGAAGGTGCTTCAATCAGAAGAGCAGCCTCAAAGGTCACATGAAGACTCACAGAAACGGTAAGATTTAACATCTAGGACCAAGCTACAAGAATTGTGGCTATTTTATTTGGTGGACATATTTTACTTTAGTATATATCAGTTCAACAGTAAATTTAAATAAAAAAAAACTAATTTGTTAATTAATTAAAGGTATTGTGGAGGATTTTCGCAAATTTTTAAAAAGACCCGTCCTCTTCATTTAAGAAATGCGTGTGCAAAAGCATGCAAGAGCCCATTTCTCTATGTCCAGACACACTGTTTAAAGGAAAGGTCCGCTCATATTCAGAATTCAAACTTCTGAAAGTACTTTAAATATGAAATTATTACATACTGTTTGATAAGTGTTTTAATTAAGAATAATTTTTATTTTGATTTACTGGAGACTTCCATGTTTGATTGATTTTACTTGTAAAGCGGGGAGAATGGCGCCAGGCTTACCGCAGCGTGACGTCACTTCTGGAAAATGTCAGGAGGGAGGTGTTACTATATCTGGGCAAAAATGGCCGCTTGTGACAAAAATTGTTTACATTTTTTTTTTTACTGATTAATGCTAAATTCATTAAATCACCACAAACTTATTAGTTTTAGGTATAGATAACGATCCATTGTTTATTCCTTGCTGACCAGACTTTTCCTTTAAAAGTTGCTGTTCTCCTAGCTCATACAAGCGTACTGTGTCCGAACGTCCACTCTAACCACTAAATCCCTCAATCGCTATATAGAGGGGACTATATGGTGGACTCAGTTAACTTATCGTTCCAACAGATGATCACTGCTTTTTGCTCCGTTGGTCACCAACTCCTCCTCATCCACGTGGTGCCTGCGCCATCTTTGTTATTAGTCGCCGCTGTCGGGTAGCAATAGCCTATGGTGACAGCAAATCCCAAAATGCTTTGCAAGGAGAGCTCTCTACGGAAAGCATTCTTGGATACATCATCTTATTAAGCTTTTCTTTTCTTCTTATACATTTCATAGACACTTTGAAAATGACCCTCGGCCATTTTCAAAGAACCGCGGTTAGAAAGGTGTGCTTCGATGATGGCTGAAAGTGCTCATGCGATAAAAACATGGCTAACGGGACGGCGTTCCTTAAACATATCACCAGAATGATTGACAATTACAAGGACCACTTATTTAGATGATCCACCCGGAAATAAAAGATCGTCCTCTATACCTTTACAGGGTTTCCTCGGGTCATTAAATTATTATTTTTAAATTAAGGCCTTAATTGGCATTAAAATTAATTAAATGTGTTTATTGTGGCATTTAAAATGCTTTATTTAAAAATATTTTTTACAAAAATAATTTTGTCAGACATATTATATCACAATATATTTGCGTGGAACTGCTTCCGGTTGATCGCAAAGCTTTATGTTCAGAAAAGAAGCTTGAGTCGGAGAAAAAGCTAGAGAATGGGGGGGAAAAAGCTAATTTCAACAAATGTGGCTGGAAAACGAGGAATTTGGGACATGGCTGCAGGCTGTCAACGGGTACCTCTTGGTGGCATTAAAATTATTCCTAAGAGCATTAAAAGAGCATTAAAAAGCATTAAGTCAGAGTTATTCATTCCTGTATAAACCCTGCTTTACATGTTCTACAACACAGATATAAAAAAATCAAGACATGGGTTCATTTATTTAAAACATACAATGTCCAATTCCATAGAAACCCTGGACTAGGAGTATATTTTACAGGAAATCGGAAAAGACACCTCTTTATTCAGAAAAATGGAGAGAATCATTGAACCAAAGCTACTTTCCATGAGAGAAGAAAAGCTTAAATAAAAAAACAAAAAACACTAACAAACAAAGGAGTCAACATTGTGAGCAGCAGCTGTAACTCTGTTAGCGACTCGGTCCAGGGAAGAGTCGCAGCTAACACAGATTTACTCTGGCCAGGCTTATCTTCATCTTCAGAAAGAAAAATCCAAAACATAGAACAAACATGAAAACAGAAGTATGGTTAGACTGAAGCTCTGGTCCAGTGGGTCATTTTTTCTGGGTAAGAAAAAAAGATAGAGTAGGGTTGGGGAAGCAATCAGGGGAAACAATTGCTCCATCAAAGGCTCCATCTAGAGAAGAGAAGCAGCTGGTCTGGGGTACTTCATATAGTAACAGGAGGGGAGCACAAAGGTGAGAGCAGCTTGAGCTCAAACAATCACTCTGCAGAAAAAAAAATGGCTATTTATGAAACAAAGGGCCAGATGTACCTTCTATAGAAAGAAATGTTGACGTAACGTAGTTATTGGCAGCATTAGTGGCAATTTGTGAACCGCGTCATTAAACTGCCACCTTGGTAGGCAGGTGCAGTGCTGGCTTCCAGACAAACAAAAGGAAAGTAGATTTATACTCTTTACCAATATGTAAGAGAGAAATGCATCCTCAAAAATCGCTGCTGTCAGGATCAACCTGTATGGGGCAGAAAATGGGGCAAAACATCAGAGTACTAAGACAAACTGCCTTTGATATCTTATTATGACATAATTATTGAGTGAACATAAGGAGCGCCAAGAAAATGGAAGCTTTCACAGCCTGATAATCAGGGATGGACATAATTGGAGGTTTTAATGGCTTTATGAATGAGGTCAAACTCATCCAGTGAGAAGCAAGGTTCTGGTGATAATTACAACATAGCTTGTAGATACAGGCTACGTTAGCTGAGCTAATTTGGCTAGTGAAACAGAAGATATCGTAGATTTCTCTCAGTAATATAAATTTCGTCTTTTTTTTTCTTTAATAATGACAATTTTATTGAGTTTCCTGTTTTATAGAACATACAACAGACACGTTAATATGCTACACCAACCTTTCTGATTCTACTTTACAGTTTGCCAGTTGAAAAGGGCAGACCATGTACTATCATACTGATGCATTTTACATGCATGTATGTCACTTTCTCATAAGAGGCCAGTTTAACCATAGTTGTCAGCCATTCATCATTAGGAGGAGGAGGAGGAGGCTTCTTTTTCATCCAGTATCTTAGTAGGATCCTTTTTGCTGTAGTCAGAACCAGAACAAGCCACCTCTTGTCAAAAGGTGAGAAGTGTGAGTCTGGGAGTTCTACTGTGGAGCCTTAAACTCCAACCTTCTATCCAGTACTTCCAAAAATTTTCCCATAATATTCTTCCACCAATCTAGAAGAGCAGGGCAGGTCCAGAGAATATGTAGAATAGATGCTTCCTCCTTGCTGCATCTCCAGCAAGTGTCTTTGGGAATCAAATTCAATTTATGAAGTTGTTGAGGCCATGTGCCATCTTTGAATGATTTTTTATTTTCTTCCTTTCTTTTTTTTGACGACCATCAGTACTGGAGTAAGTTGTAAAATAATAAATTCTTTGTGATCATGAATTATTCAATCAGAACCATGTTACTGACTTAGACCTAGACTGCTGGGTTTTAGTACAGAGAAATGTGAGTTTAAAAGATTAAGATTGATCCCTTGGGAAGACTCCCTCCTGAAATTAAGTTTACCAGCAGCTTACTGACCAAAAAAGTATTAAGTTAAATTAAGTTA